TTCTTCTTCCAAATTGTTGTAAAAAATAAGCGACTTAGCGTAATTAGACATAACTTGATGTAATAGTAGAAGCAATTTGTCTTCAGTACTCTCTCCGGTACTGATTCTGAAAGATACAATTTAGGAGACCGGTTATTTAAATCGCATCTTTATGTGATAGAAGAGTGGCGGTAATAAATTAATTTATCCTTGAACAAAGGTTAATTATCTGCTAATAAATGGTTCGTGATATCAAGTGATTAATAAGGATTGACAATATTTCAATGTTGTAAATTTAAATTAATTTAACAATTCAATCAAATTAACACTGAAGTATTGAGAATGTATAGGGTGTGCTAAAAAAATGTGCTTCTTTATTAATTTGAATATCTGGGAACACAGAAAAATACGAACACGACTCAAAAAAATCCAATCTGCTTAATAATTCATTATCACTCGTTAATTTATATTATTAGACTTAATATGTCAATAAATGGCTTGATCAACGTAGCATATATCTATAAAAGCCAGTTACAATGTGAACACATTTTGTTAATTACCTTATATATTCTCAATATTCAGGTTTAATTTCATTATTTGTTAAATTAATTTAACTTAAATTTACAATATTGAAATATTGCTAATACTAAAATGAAAGCACTGAAATGTCGATAATACATGTTAATTGTCTCATCTTTCAAATAAATTACTATCAAATTTATTTACTTAATTGTAAATCAATTAATGTTATACAATATTTTTATTAAATTCTTTTAATTTAATTAATTTAATTAATTAATGGTGTATACATATACTTAATTGTCAATAAATTACTACCAAAATTATTTCCTTAATTATAAATAAATTCCTGTCAAAATTATTTATTTAACTGTAAATGAATTACTATCAAATTTATTTGCTCAGTTGAGAATAAATTATAATATTAGTAAAAATATTTGATTAATTGTAAATAAATTACTGTCAAAATTATTTGCTAATTTGTAAGTAAATTAGTTGTCAATTATAATCAAAATAATTTATTATATTATCAACTGAAAGTATATTTTAAAATATTTTACGTTATTTAAATAGCTTCGTCATATTAATCACCATAAGCCGCCGACAGAAAAAATTCCTTTAACGAATGTGTATTTGACTTAATGTTGACTAAAATCCGCCATATTTTAAAATCGGGACATGACATCGTGCTCGATATATTACAACGATCTCGCTAGTAACAGAGAAGCTTGTACAATACGAGTTGAAAGATAGAAACAAGCATCGTAAAGGAATAAACGATGTCGCGGGTAACTCAAATCAAACATCCTGCCGACAAGGATACCGACTCATTAAATGCTACGAGACTCTCCGTTACGAAGACTTTTCAATGTTATTTTATGAATCCGACGAAAACTGGATTCGAAGAAGTTTCAGGTAAAACCGTTGTAAGAATGAATGACTTTTGTATCATTCTACGAATAGTTGCCAGGATCTGATTGCTCTACGGGAGGCTCGTATAAATAAACTCTGTAGTTTGATCGAAGAATAGATTTGTAAATTTATGGATGCTGAATTGTTTCGAATGCTGAAATAAGACAGTAATATTCAGTTTTTAGAAAGATCTTCCGATAGGACATAAATAAGTGAAATAACCTACTTTTAAAGAAATGTCAGTGAAACAAATATTTTTTTAGTATCTCTTCCCGATTTGAATCTCGCTAAAACCAAGTTTTCATTATAACTTTTGTCTGTGTCTGAATTGTAATGAAAAGAGTAGTAAAGCATGATATGAGAAATAAGATGAGAAGTAACGTGTAATTTTATTTAATAATGAATTTTATTATCGAAGTTAACCCTGTAAATCTAGGTTGGATGCATACCAATTATTTTTTTTAACGAATCTAATCAACGATCTAACGCATTTGAACTTCACACATAAAAATGGCGTACTGGATATAATATGAACTTCCAATTTACGAATTTATGAAAAGGAGATATCGCCACATTTATGCAAACATAAATTGCATGCATCACTGATTTCACGATCTTGTAGTTCACTGATCATACCGTATTCGGTTGACACGTTGCGAGAGATTCTCAGAATTTTATACGGTTCAACCACATTTTCGTGGTATTCTTTTTGTTTCGATCCGTGTCATGGCATTGTGATTCGCGGTCTATTTTCGGCCGGCAAAGTCTAATTTTTCCAGTGTGCCAGCTCCGATTCGAAAAACAGGTACGATGATTACGTGGGCAGTCATTTCTCTTTGCTTTCGTTTGACTTTCATCCCGTCCCAACATTGCATTTCGTTGCAAATTAACCGACACGAACGTGAAAAGGCTCGCGGACGAACTGGCTCTTCTGCCTTCTTTGAATTTTGCGTGGTTGAATACTAATTTGTTGACACGCGGCGCGTTTAGGCGCCACGTCAGGCCGACCAAATTCCAAACGGCGCCATCGCGATATTTATTCAATGAAATTCCATGCGCTAAAGCTATTCCAAAGATATTCTTTATGTTTTTTGCTTGACGCTTCGATGCAGTTATTCCTTCACGCGTTATTAGTGGTATCCGCTTCCGCCAAACGTCACCGTCATCCTTTAACTAATATCTGCAAACCAAATTTTAGATTTATCGCGTCGTACTTACTGGCATTTTCTAATCAAATGCTTTATGGTATTTGCGGTTTTAATTTTAAAATATCATTGTTTATTTTGGATTCGGCGAAACAGTTCGCATATAATCATAGATTTGGGGTATTTCTTAAGAGAGTATCTCCATTAATCGGATGCAGGGTAGTAAATTTCCCTTTAGTGGAAAATTTGGAAAACAAACTTATCATTATAACTATATAGTGCACTTTATAGTACAAAAATTTATGAGTTATGAGTTTAGTAACTTGCCAATTTGTGGGTTTGAAAATCTAATAACTTGAGAATTTGAAAATTTGAGAATCTAAGCACTTGATAATTTGAGAATTTAAAAATCTACGAACTTGAGTATTTAGAAATTTGAGAATTTGTAAAATTCAAAATTTGGTAACGTTGAAGATGTAGAAGTTTGTATAAATAGTGAAAATTTAAAAGTAAAAAAATGTGGAACTTGAAAATTTGAAAACTTGGGAACATGGAAACTTTAAAACTTTAAAACTTTAAAACTTTAAAACTTTAAAACTTTAAAACTTTAAAACTTTAAAACTTTAAAACTTTAAAACTTTAAAACTTTAAAACTTTAAAACTTTAAAACTTTAAAACTTTAAAACTTTAAAACTTTAAAACTTTAAAACTTTAAAACTTTAAAACTTTAAAACTTTAAAACTTTAAAACTTTAAAACTTTAAAACTTTAAAACTTTAAAACTTTAAAACTTTAAAACTTTAAAACTTTAAAACTTTAAAACTTTAAAACTTTAAAACTTTAAAACTTTAAAACTTTAAAACTTTAAAACTTTAAAACTTTAAAACTTTAAAACTTTAAAACTTTAAAACTTTAAAACTTTAAAACTTTAAAACTTTAAAACTTTAAAACTTTAAAACTTTAAAACTTTAAAACTTTAAAACTTTAAAACTTTAAAACTTTAAAACTTTAAAACTTTAAAACTTTAAAACTTTAAAACTTTAAAACTTTAAAACTTTAAAACTTTAAAACTTTAAAACTTTAAAACTTTAAAACTTTAAAACTTTAAAACTTTAAAACTTTAAAACTTTAAAACTTTAAAACTTTAAAACTTTAAAACTTTAAAACTTTAAAACTTTAAAACTTTAAAACTTTAAAACTTTAAAACTTTAAAACTTTAAAACTTTAAAACTTTAAAACTTTAAAACTTTAAAACTTTAAAACTTTAAAACTTTAAAACTTTAAAACTTTAAAACTTTAAAACTTTAAAACTTTAAAACTTTAAAACTTTAAAACTTTAAAACTTTAAAACTTTAAAACTTTAAAACTTTAAAACTTTAAAACTTTAAAACTTTAAAACTTTAAAACTTTAAAACTTTAAAACTTTAAAACTTTAAAACTTTAAAACTTTAAAACTTTAAAACTTTGCAATTTTGCAACGTTAAAACTTTTAAACTTTTAAATATTGAAACTTCTAAACTTGAAAACTTGGAAATTTGGAAATTTGAGAATTTGTGGATTCGTCGATATAATAATTTGAAAATTTGCGAATTGATTTATTTGAGAATTTGGTATTCCGATACGTTTTAAATTGAAAAATGAAAAGGTTTGGAATTTCGGAATTTGAAAACTTGGAAATTGGTCAATTTGAAAAGGTAATAATTTTGAAACTTAACAACTTAAGAATTTGTAGATTTGAAAATTATCAAGCATGCATATTTCCTGTTTCAAAATAAAAAATCTTAAAAGTTTCCACCCTCTACACTTTTACTTAGCCAAAGGTAACCTATGTACATTGCTCAAACATTAGCGACTTCGCATTAACAAGTCTATATACATAAAAATCCTTCTCACGAAGAAAATTCGTGTCAACACTTACTAGAGAATGTATGTCACCAATTTGCGTCTAGATCGAAAGCAACCCTTTACAATATGATCTTTTCTTAATGCGTGGGTTTCCGTAGAATGTTAACAGCAAAAATTGCGTGGTCCATGATGTTTCCTGGTGACCATATTTCATCCGCGTTTGCTATCCATTTCCATGAAGCGTGAATCTTTACCGAACGACCTTCGACCTTTCTTGCATCGTCGCTAAACAGCGATTTCACGAATTTCGACCGATTTCACGAATCGTCGACAACAGACGGTATTCCTATCTTGGTACTGCCATCATCGGGTCGACAATGCAAAGGTTATCGACAATGGCGCACGGCCAGAAATAGCAGACGGTGTGCATTGTGTTTAGCAGTGTATAGGATATCCGGATAGAGGATGTTCATGAGTGCCTAAGAACTTCAGATTCCGGATTTGTGGCCGTGAATCGTTCGCTTGCATCATTTCGCGGTTCTAGCCCAAATATTACGAACTTACGTAACTGTTCATTCTTCCTCGTGGGTGTGTAACTTGTGTTGAGGATACTTGTGTGCCACAATGAATCTTTGCGATTATAACAGTTCTTTCAACTATAGGAACTCATTCTGAAAAATTGCAGGTAGTAATCCTCCTTATAACTCGTTTCTGATCTACTGCCTTTCCGACCTTGACATTTACAGATGGACGAAATCGATCTAACCGGACCTTGCGACCTTTGCAACAGTTAATAGATTTCAATTAAACTTTGTACGATTATAGAGTATGCCGAATGCAATAATATCCTATAATTATAACACGCAACTTTCTATAATAACGGAGGAATTTAAGGGTAAAGATGTTGCAATGTATATTTGATTCTTTGGGATTTTATATATTAAAATATAGATTTTAGGTTAATGGAAAACTACTAGTTTATTTTCTTAGATTAATAGAAACTCAAAAAATCATACTCCTAATACTCAAAAATCAATTCTCCTAATGTAAAATCAATCTTTATTAGGGTTAGTCAAATATAAACCATAATTTTGTATCGACTTCTCATTTATCATGTCATCCATTGTCAAGATAAAAACCAAAGCATTCATTATGTGAAATGTTTTTTTTTTTTAATTGAATGCTTAAGATCACATGCACCGTCTTAGGTTATTAGTGACCACATTTGATTTGGGACAGTGTCGTAAACCTATTGGTATAAAACGTTTCTATTTCTGAAATTATACATAATAACGACATTTATGATGAAATTAGCAACTATATTTTTAAACAGTAAAGTTTCACCAGTAAAAATGAAATACACAATATGAAAGTTGCTTGTAATATGTTACAATATCAAAGATTAAAAACAATATGTTACAATATCCAAATTAAAAACAGAATTAGTAATAACTAATACTTAACCAAAAAGTTTGAAACCTTGTTTATTTATTGTACAACATAAAACCTTGGTTAAATTCATAAAAACGATAAAAAATATCAACATATACGTGAGTAATGAAATTCAAGTTAAAAGACATCCAAAGAGAAGTCAAAATATATGCATTAAAAATGAGAAGAACATTGAGGCGATAAATATAAAATTTGTATAAATGCTATAGATATAAAATTCGTATGAAGGGTATAAATATAAAATTGCACAAGAAATATCGCAAAATGTATTAGACGAAGAGAAAGGTGGAAACATCAGAGAGAACGAAAGCAACGCAGAAGATATTATCGACTGGGTGTACAAACGGAAACAGAGATGAAACAAACATGAACAGAATGTGGGAGGGAGGAGAGTTGTGAAAATTGCCAGAGATAAATCACCAACCAGTAAAAGAAGTGTTGGTAGACCACAGAAAAGATGGAGTGACAACTTAGATGCGGAATTAACCGAGGAAGTTGCTGAAGGAAACAGGCTCCGGCCTAGCAAAAAAAGAGGAAGAAGAAGAAGTTTCTGTTAATTACGACCCGAAAGCAGAATTTTCTTAAGCTAATGTTGATCACAACATCTCTCTATTTTATATTAATTTCTCTAATTTGTATAGTTGTTCTTTGTTCATTGAACAAATTTTTATTATATTCCTATTACTCGATTCAAATATTCTGTCGAGTACGATAGGTTCCTTTGGGAAAATGAGGATATTAGGGAAAGAAATTTAGTGAGTAGATTATTTTTGTTGCAAAGTTTTTAAAATAAAAATCAGGAAATATAAGAATTTGGTAATTTAGGATCTAAATATTTGGAAATTTGGAAATGTGAGGAGTTTGAGAATCTAAAGATTTGAGAATTGGAACACTTGAGGGCTTAGATAATTGAAATTTGGAAATTTGTAAAATTTAAGAATTTGGGATATTATAATTTGATGATTTGATGATTTGATGATTTGATGATCTGAAGATCTGATCTGATGATCTGATGATCCGATGATCCGATGATCCGATGATCTGACGATCTGATGATCTGATGATTGAATTGATTGATTGATTGATTTTATAAGGGCCTCCACTGCTGTGATCATTGACCTCATGGTTTGATGATTTGATGATTTGATCCAATAATGTAAAAATCTGATAATTTAATAATTTGATAATTTAGGATTAGAAAATTTATAAATTCGGAAACTTAGAAACATAAAAAGATTTTATATCAGATTTTATAAAATTGATCAATTAATATACAACATCTTAACATTATTGTAAGGATATAAAATAATGTAGGATATATTGATATAAGGTTACTTACATTAGTTCTGTCATCAATAGAATTTCAATGCTCTTTAATGATACTGATTGTTTATAAAATTTTATTATAGAAAGCAGTCAGCTCTATAATGACTCTCGTATAACGATCAAGCTATAGCTTCATCAGACTACGGACATTACTGGGGGAAGTTGCGTCAGATGAAAAACAGATCGATCGAGTTTCCTCGAGCAAGACGTCTAGGAATTTCCACGCAAACGTAAAATTCAGCATTCATGTTTTCCTACTATCCTTTTTATCATAAATATAATGTCTTTGTCAAATGAGCAACAATATGTTACTAACTTATTAGTATATCAAAATAAAACATATATGTTCTATAACTACTTCGACTATTAAACTAATTTACTTGAAAATTTAAAAATTTTGCAATTTGGAAACCTAGAAATTTAGATATTTGGAGATTTAGTAATCTAGAGATCTAGGAATCTAGAGATTTAAGAATTTAGAGATTTAGGAGTCTAGGGATCTAGAGATCTAGAGATCGACAGATTTAGAAATTTAGAAAGCTAGAAATCTAGAAATCTAAAAATTGGAAGAATTGGAATAATTGGAAAAATTAGAAAAATTGGAAAAATTGGAAAAATTGGAAAAATTGGAAAAATTGGAAAAATTGGAAAAATTGGAAAAATTGGAAAATTAGAAATTTAGAAACTGATTATACAATTTTCAAATTTTTAAATTCAAAAGTTTAGAGGTTAAGAAAATTAAAAATTTTTTAAATTCTAAAATTTGAAACTGTTGTGTTTGCAAATTTCTAAATTGAAAAATTGAAAAAGTATGAATTCGAATAGTTACATTTTTAAACTTTCAAATTTTGAAGTACGCAACATATAAACTTGATGGAAAAATTACTTTCTATATCGCCAGTTACTGCAACCCATTCCTAGCAACATAACAAGACTTAAATGTACCCATTAGTGTCCATCACTGATCGAAAATAATGCCGATTTTTGTTTCAGGATGCATAGACTCCAACGACGGTTGTGTATATTGATTTCAAATTAATTAATATTATTTCTAGATATTGACATTATGTATAATGAATATGTAGACGAAGCACATTAGAATGGTATATAAAGGTAACAAGCAATATTACAATATTAATAGTTTTTTATATGTGAGCATATAGCTTGGTCTAGAGTAATAAAAAATTTATATAACGTTCCTAATCAAATGATCAAAGTTGTACAAAACAATGGGAAATCTCAATAATTGATATTAAATTTGATAATATTATAAATAAAATGATATAATAATATAAATACATAAATAACATAACTGATATAGGGAAATACTAATTATTAATATCAAATATGTTAATTTTATTTAATTATATATAGAATATATAATTATATATTTTCTTCATTTTCAAAGATAATACCTTTCCAATTTTGAGTCTTTTGACTTGAAATTTTGAGGGTAGACTCATGAGACAGTCCACATTTGCTGTACAGATATTGATGGTAATCTCTGGACAAAAGTCTGGCGTCATTGACGTCGATCGTCGTCGAATCGATAAAAAAACTATCTTTTGGTATCGTTTACGGTAATTATTGACACATAGAATCGAGTGGAATCACGTTAAAAGCTCTGCAACTCATCGTTGACGAGAATACTTCGTCGTTATTGACGTCCGTTGACGTCAAATCAGCAATTGTCGGGTTTGGTATCGTTTCCGGTGGATTCAGACACATTTTATCATTTGGTGCGATTTTTTCTGCACGTTATTCTGATTCTACTTATGTATTTATAGACCCACTGAAAAAGTAAAGAAAAATGAAAGTAAAAATTTAATAAAAGCATCCACTATTTTGATATATACAATAAATCGAGACCTTTGGGAAATTGAAAGTGAAATTAAATCTAAACCGAGGGTCATCTAGAAAAGCAAAATTATGGCCCTCATCAGCCGTCATAAACTGGTAACAATTAACCTAACTTGCGCATTAAATTTATTTTTCCACATAATAAGTCATGTAAAATTTGGTTCAATCCATGTTTTTGTATATTTTATAACTCATTAACATCAAATATCTATTTTCATTTTTCCTAACAAAGAAATACAACTGAATAATTTGAAAATACTCGATATGTTTAATAATATCATCTTTAGTAATCGTATTTGTTATAAAATATCTATACATTTTAAAACTTCATTTTAAAGTATATTAATAATTTCAAATTAATGGAAGATATAGTATTTCTAATTATACGCATATTTTACAATAAGATGCACTGTAACGATACATATATTTTGTAATAATGTAAAAATTACACATTTCTAAAGTAAGTGTTATTTTGCTAATACAATTAATTCCATCTAGAATCTGCAAATGTCAAGCCGTGCGATGTCAACCGTGGTTCGAAATCAACGAATGTTCACCGTGACTGAGCGCGTTCAGACTCGACGATTAGTTAACGCGACTTTACTGTGCTTTTGTTGTCACGAGAAATAACTTCGAATTACTTTATTTTCTGTATTTTACATAGTCCGTATATTCTACAGGTTTTATTCAGTACAAAGATTTCCATACATTTAGTACTCAGTAGTTCAGAATATATAGAAAACGTAAAGATTGTTTTAGCATACTAAAATAAAAAATATAGAGTGAAGTGGGGTAAGTTCGTAAACGAGGCAAGCGCGTATTAGGCTATTTTTATTACAATATGAGCGAAATTTTTCCATTTAGTATGTTTGTTTCCTTGTTTTGTTTCACTATATCCTCTTTTATATTTCAACTAAGAGTACTTGTTTGTAGTATAGAGTATTTACATAATGCAGTAAAAAGCATTTTATAGCAGATTTGTTAATAATTCTGCTCTTGCGCCATTGCACATGAAATAATGTTTCAAAGTGTTTAACTATTAACTACAAGTTACGCTCTTATCCCATTTTCGGGGAAAGTGCAGAGTAGTTGACATTTTAAACAATTTTCCATCAAAATCAAAATGTACAAGGAAAATTAAGGTCCTATGTTTCGTGGAGTTGCAAATATATAGTTAGAACAAGAAATACAGTCCATTCATTTTTTTAAATAATCTCTGTAATTGTTGTCTTTGTTCATTGTATATAGACATTGATTCTCGAAATTCTGAACTGGCTTGCACCATCTCTGAATCTCTATCCCGTGTCTTCACCAAACTTCCTGTGGTGCTTTCCGCGAAGTCAGAGATGAGACCTATCAAAGGGTCCTCTCATTAAGCATACTTCAAGGACGTGGGTTCCCAATATATCGGGCTTGAACCATATACCAGTTACCACGTGCACCACAGCAGCAGGATTTATGGCGGGCATACAATGGAAGTGTCTACGGTTGTTCAAAACTAACCTGTCATGTCTTTTCAAAGGTCAAACAACCACTTTGATTGGTTACCTTTGATGACATTCATGCTAGACCAACTTCTGGAAGCTCAAACGCTAATCAGATTGGACAGGTCAGAGAGATGAATCGGTTTACAAGAAACCGGTAAGAGAACAAGTTCAGTTCAGGATAAGAGAACAAGTTCAGTTCAGACAATTGTAAATATTACTTCAATCTATAACGAACAGACACATTCAGAGTTTAGAGTTTTTCGAATTGACGATCACAGATAGTCGATTAGCTTTCGTTACGGAGCAGCGTTTTTTTGCAATCAGATTCCAACAACATCTTTCTTTATCAAGTAATATTTCATTAAAAAAAAGGCATTGATAACATATTGAAACATCCTTATTACTTGTTAGAAGTAACGGACAAAACAAATGAACTGCGCTTTGCGCGTTCGAAAATTTTCAGGTGGCCATCGAATCCCGAGATGAATATCCGACGCCCGAAGCGCTTAAAATAAAAATTTTAGAAGAGAGCGCTGCGCGAACCGATAAGGCAAAGGAGTCCAGTGATAGCGCGATGTGGGTAAGAAAATCGACCAAGCCGGACAGGTCAAGCACAGCGCAGTGGAAGCGCTGTGATACCGCAACAGAAGAGTCAAACAAAAACGCGAAGGAAAAGGCGAAGGAAAAACTACGTTGTTTCCGCTGTAAAAAGATAGGACATCGAGTTTCGGAATGCCGCGGATTGTTCCGCGGGGACGGCTAAAGAAAATTTTTCCAGCAGCAGTGAATCAGGAGCGAAGGAAATCGCTTTCCAGGCCGATCAACGCATTCGCGAAAAAGGTGCAGAAGGGAAATGAGCGGCGACGCGTCTTCTTTCGTCGAGATGAAACCGTCAACGTGCGACACGTTAAACCTCGCTAGCAGCGCGTCAACACAGGTGGAAGGTCAAGGTACAGTGCGATTATCCATAAAAGACTCGAATTCGTGAAAAACTATAGAACTCCGCGACGTGTTGTTCGTTCCCGACCTTCGCATGAACCTTATGTCGGTTGCGAAAATTACCGATAAGGGATGCAGTGTTCTGTTTAGAAAACATAACGCCACCGTGTTTGCGCCCAACGCACAGTGGTCCCAAATCGCGAAAAGCTGGCCAAAATATGAAGGAGTATTTCAATTTTAATGAAACTTCGTATCTAGGGGTTTTCGAGGTCACTCATTACAAATCAAAAGTCAGAATTACGAAAAACAAAATGGCGGATTCAATACGGACGTTGAGTATTTAAAAAAAAACCAAAAAGCTGACCAAAATATGAAAGAATTATTCTATTTAGCTGAAAATTTGTACAAAGTGGTATTCGAGGTTACAAATTAAAGACAAAATTATAAAATTGAATACTTCATTTTTCGACTTTTGGCCAGCTTTTCGCGATTTGGGACCACTGGACGGGGAAACAGTTTTCACCGCTGACCGACGCGATAATTTATATTATGCACAATCCGCGTTTTTTGTGAACGATGCGAATTTAAAAACGGTAAATGATATGGAATTGTGACATCGGCGTCTCGGTCACGTTAACGAGGAAAGTTTGCGGAAAATAAATCGCGATAAAAGTATACGCGGCGTTTCCTTCGGAAAAGACGAAAAACTCCCTACTTGCGAAATCTGTTTGCGCTCAAAAATGACTAAATTACCATTTCCAAAAAGATCGAACCGTGCCGTAGGTGTTCTCGAGATAGTTCATACCGATATATGCGGACCGATGAGCGTCGAATCGATCGGCGGCGCGAAATATTTTATATTATTCATTGATAATTATACGCGATGGCGCGAAGTTTTCTTCTTGAAACAAAAGAGCGAAGCGTTATCTGTTTTTAAAAAGTTTAAAAATTTTGCTGAAAATCAAACAGGCGCGCGAATAAAATATTTGCAGTCCGATAATGGTCGCGAGTTTCTTAGCAACGAATTCAACGAATATCTAAATTCTTGCATTTCTCAGTAATGAGTTTAACGAATACCTAAATTCGTGCGGCATTAAAAGACGATTGACCGTAACGCACACGCCTCAACAAAACGGTGTTTCCGAACGTAAAAACCGGACATTAGTTGAAACGGCGCGATGTTTACTTCTCCAAGCGGGACTGTCGAAGCGATTTTGGGCTGAGGCGATAGCGAACGCGAATTATACGCGTAATAGATTACCGTCTCGCGCTCTCGACGGCGACAACGCTGATTATCGTTGGACAGGTAAAGTATCGGACGCGTCGTATTTCAAGGTTTTTTGTTCGAAGGTCATAACCCGAGTTCGAGACCGTCAAAAGTCGAAATTCGAACCGCGCGCGCAAGAGGAAATATTCCTCGGTTATTCGGATGAAACAAAGGGTTTCAGAGTATGGCTTCCTGACGAGAACCGCGTTGATATATCTCGAGATGTAAAATCGGCAGACGAGACTTTAAAAGGGCCACTGAAAATAAATTGCGAAGAGCGAAAAACGAGAATTCGTATTCCGAAAATCGTGTAGAGATAGATATTCAAAATGATAAAACAACCTCGAAAGTCGTGGAAAGCAGGGATGAGTTGAGAGACGATAGTCAGACAGTCGATCGTGAGAATAGTATCGTTGAAGTCCCCATAGATTCTTCGCAACAATTCGATTCTATTCCGACACGCATAAACGAAGTCACGGTGGTAGGCCACGAATTATCCGGGCTGGGAACCGTGGTAGGTCGAAGAAAGTACGCGGTACGGTCGAAATTCAAAACGATATTCAAAGCGATTCTCAATCTGAAGGAGAGAACGAATTATTCGAAGACGCCGTGTCTTCGCATCCGACGGAATCAGCTGGTATGGCCGAGATACCGCTGCAAACCGCGCTTTCCGGCCCGGATAAAACACAGTGGCGTGTCGCGATTCGGGAAGAAATAGCGGCGATGTTAAAAAACGACGTACGGGAAATCGTTGAACGCCCTCGCGATCGCGAAGTCATTGGGTGTCGCATGGTTCTTCGCGACAAAATAAACACCAACGGACAGGTGACGCGGAGGAAGGCGCGTTTAGTCGCACGCGATTTTGCTCAGCGCCCGGGTTTAGATTACGAAGAAACGCACGCGCCCGTTACGAGATTGAGCTCGATACGATTGATAATAGCTCTAGCCGTCGAATACGATATGCAAGTCTATCAATTAGACGTATCAACTGCGTACTTGAATGGAAAAGTCGATAAAGATATTTTCATGACGATTCCGGACATTCTCCCCGACGCGTTGCGCGACATTGATTCCGGACATTCTCCCTGACGCGTTGCGCGACATCATATCGGACGGACCCGTAGAATATAGTGATAAGGCGCGAAAAATGCTAAACGAATTATCGAGCGGCGATAAAGTTTGTAAAATAAAAAAGGCTCTATACGGTTTGAAACAAGCGGGTAGGCAATGGAATAAACGCCTCGACGAAGAATTGCGAAACATGGATTTCGTCCCCCTCCATGCTGATCCATGCGTGTATATATTGCGAAAGGGGAAGCAATTTCTCGTTCTTGCCGTATATGTAAACGATATAGTAATAACTGCGGAAGATTTTAAATGTTAAGAAACAACTCATGCGAAAATTCGAAACTAAAAAAGGCTTTATACGGTTTGAAACAAGCGGGTAGGCAATGGAATAAACGCCTCGACGAAGAATTGCGAAACATGGATTTCGTCCCCCTCCATGCTGATCCATGCGTGTATATATTGCGAAAGGGGGAGCAATTTCTCGTTCTTGCCGTATATGTAGACGATATAGTAATAGCCGCGAAAGATTTTAAATGGTTAGAACGCATTAAGAAACAACTCATGCAAAAATTCGAAATGACGGATTTAGGGAAGATCGGACATTGTTTGGGTATCGAATTTGAGCACAACGGTACGGAAATAAAAATGCGGCAAAGCGCGTACACGAAAAGAGTTTTAGAAAAATTCGGCATGTTAAATTCGAATCCCGTGACGTCACCGATTGATCCTCCCCAGAAGCTAACCAAATGCGAAAAACAAAGCGCCGACGTTAAAAATTTTCCGTACAGGGAACTCGTCGGATCCCTTATGTACCTGGCTACGGTCACACGCCCGGATATAGCTCATGCGGCCAGCAGTTTCAGTCAATTTAATTCGCGCTATGACCGACAACATTGTATCGCGGCAAAACGCGTACTACGTTACTTAAAGGGAACAATTGATCACGGGATACGATTCCAAAAAGACGATGATTCCAAAAAGGCGACGGTATATTAAGGGGTTACGTAGACGCCGATTGGGGGTCGAGTTTGCACGATCGAAGGTCATACACCGGATTTATTTTTATGTTAAACAGCGGACCTGTAAGCTGGGAATCGCGAAAACAACGCAGGTCGCGCTTTCCACGATGGAAGCGGAATACATGGCATTGTCGGAATCGACAAAAGCAGCAGTGCATCTGCAAAGTTTTTTAAAGGCCATAGGAATTTTTAAGTAGAAACATGTACCGATATTCAACGACAATCAGAGTACTATCGAATTGGCCAAAAACCCAACTTTTCATAGCCGTTCCAAACATATAGACATTAGACACCACTTTGTAAGAGAAAAATTAAAAGACGGCGAAATAAAAGTTTTTTACAAAGCGTCAAACGATCAGATCGCGGATGTATTAACAAAAGGTTTAACCGGCTCGCGTCATCAGAAATGTACCGTATCTTTTATGTATAGCGATCGACATTATAAATAAATGCGTTGTAGTAATTAATTCGCGAAACATTGTATACACCAGCGATAAGCGTACATCCTTGTTTTGAGGGGGAGTGTTAGAAGTAACGGACAAAACAGATGAACTGCGCTTTGCGCGTCCGAACACGCATGTTAGCACCACGATCTTTTGTCTAGCAGTTACAGTTATACCTTCGTCAACGAAGCACCGCGCATTTTTGTAAAGACACATTCATATAATTAAAGTATTTTCCGTTCACCTCAGCACTGCAGTTTATTTTCCCGAAGCTAATCCTAACATTACTGTAAAAAGAGTAAGGAAACACGAAAAGCGCGGGACTTAATCCAAAAGATTAACGATTAAATTCGCGTTATTGTACATCCTAGTTAATATTAATTAAATAGTAGTAATTGTGCAAAGCGTTCAATATCGACAGCGTTAAATATTTACATAGCAGTCTGGAAATACTTACGTTTAAATACCAACTTTACAAAAACCAGTCTGCACTTACCCCACTTCACCTTACTAAAATAAAAAATATAAGATATCTACATTCTCTGGAGTTTTATTACAAAATATTATATATTTTGCAATTTAAAAAGATAGCTAATCACAATTTAACGAAATTTATTTATTAATTGAATTTTTATATTAATTTATCACATGTGCTGGTTCCGTAGCTAAAGTTGAACTGAAAATAAATATACTAGCAAGCAACATGGTTCACACGAAATGCTGTTGATAATACAAAAGAGGAAGGTGAACAAGCACATACTTGATATTTTATCAAGTATATTATTTCTCATACTTTCAGGCTCAATATACTTGATACTTTCGGAATTAAATTCCCTGGATTTTAATAATCTCGAACCAGTAGAAGATACATTTCTAGTTATACAGGTTGTCTCACAATAAGTGTAGGTCCCGTAAATGGGGGTTAACTGACGCGATTCTGAATAAGATTTCCCTTTGCAAAAATAGGATTTGAAACTTCGTTTTTGAATTATTAAGTAAAAACACGGACCAATCAGAGCCTGAGGAT